GAAGGAAGGAAGGAAGGAAGGAAGGAAGGAAGGAAGGAAGGAAGGAAGGAAGGAATCCTGCGTCCTGTAATAGAAAGGAACCGTTCTAAACTCCAGCTGCTTTCAACTTCTCCGCAGGAAAAGCCCGTCAGCATAAAAATAGATGCCTCCTGATACTGCCTGTTGCATCTACAGACGGGCTATTCATTCCACATGCCTTGAAAAGAGAAGTATGCAGATTCTGTGCCAAAATGGGTAACGGTAAGCTCCTCTGTTGTATTCAAAGAGAGGACAAGTCTCTAGTCTTTATGGGGGATAGAAGGCAGTTGGAAATATATAAAAAGGGGTTTCAGAGAAGAAATTAAAAAGCCAGCCTTTTCAATAACAGGATAGTATAACTTTAGACCAGTGTTTCTCAACCTGGTCAACTTTAAGATGCGTGGACTTCAACTCCCAGAATTCCCCAGCCAGCATGTTGACCAGGTTGAGAAACACTGCTTTAGACTGCAGGTATGTGTGCGTCACCTTTTGGACTATCCTCTCACAAAGCAGCAATCTTCAGCTACAAGATGGCTTCCAGCTCCAGTTGTAAGTGCTATCTACATAAAGTCCACAACTGTAACCTTCCAGATGCTGTGAAACCACTAGCAGCCCAACCAGCCTAACCAAGAAGTCTGGGAGTTGTAGTTCAGAAACATCTGGAGGGCAAAAGATACTTCACGCATCTCATGTCTAGTGATACACATCCCCTCAGAATCTCAGCTTAAACTGAACTCCTTTCCTCTTTCATATCTGCTCTGATGTTAAAAGTTAAACTTGAGTCCATGTAAACGTCTTATTGTAACTTGGTAAAAATATAGGAGTTTAATACTGTTAGCATGCAAAGCTTTGAGTCTTGCCTCTAGACACAAGGAGAGAGGAAGGTCACCTGTTCAAAAGTTCTGATCTCTTAAAAACTGCTCGTGAGACTCTTCAATACACGTTTTTTTAAAAAAATAGAAGCAGCAAGATAAAGTTATGAACATCTTTGTCTAAATTGGCTTCCTGTTGCCATCCTGAGATTGTGCTTCTAAGGAGGGAGGAAATATACACTGGTGCATCTTGCCCTCCAAAGTCAATCAATAATTTATAACATTGATTTTGATCTATAACTGGAGGCAGGGGTGCTGAAGCTATGTCCGGCTTGCTTAGGTCAGGAAACAGAAAAATATGCTTTCCATTGGTTTTGTGGCATCCCATTTGCATTTTCTTGAGTGGTGTGGAACTGGAGTTTTGATCGAAGTCTACACATTTACTTTTCCTCCCCCTCTGGCGAAACGTCAAAGCAATAATTGGAGCGGAAAACTCAAATTAATTGAGGGAATAAATGGTAAGGGTTTTTTGTTTTTTCTGAATCTGCTTTCACAAACTTTGGGCTAGTCTCTCTGAAACACCGTCCGGGGTAGCTGTTGCATTATTATATTATGAAAAATATAATAGGCGCCATGAAAACATCTCCAAGCTGAGGATAGAATGGCACAAAACACCAGAGTTGGAATCTGAAAGGACAATACCTCCAGTTTCCACAGTTACTATGTTTCTGCCATAGGCTTGGTACTAGAAAATATGACATCTGGGTATATTTGATTACATTTAACTGTAATCCATTTGCGGTCTTCCTTGCTACATTTTTCCTCCCCGTCTCGTAGCTTAGCCACAACAAAAGACTATGGGCCCAGTTCATTGTGGCCTCCCTTGCAGCATCTTGGAGCACCCGTTCTTGCGACTAGCTTCCACCAAAGAGTCTTGCAGGGAAAACGTTTCTTCCGCTGTGAAAGAAAAAAACTTCTAGAAAAGTGACAGGCAGATGAATTTTTTCGTTGTGGGAGGAGAAATGCCACGTTGAGGTCAGAGAACACAGCTCAGATTTAGGACTCTCTCTGTTCCTCCTCCGCTCGGTTTTTCCCAGGCCTGACCAGCTACGTCAGCCATTTGGCAATGCAGGTGTCGAAGACGGCGCGGTTGGAATGCCAGTTCGTGTGAGAAACGTTGGGCATTGTGCAGAAAACAATGTCGCCACGAACGTCCAGAGTCTTCAAGCCAAAAGTGTCTAGGAGGTAAACCTGAGAAAGGACCAACAAACACCAAGAGTTCAACTGGACAGACTTTGCAAGGCCCCTCGGCAGCACCAAGGTGCAGGTTTGGAGTGTTATAAAGGCGACAGACCAGTGCTTCTCAACCTCAGCAATTTTAAGATGCATGGACTTCAACTCCCAGAATTCCCCAGCCAGCATTTTGCCTGGGGAATTCTGGGATTAGAAGACCACCCAGCTTAAAGATGCTGAGGTTGAGAAACATTGGTTTAGAGCAGCGTTTCTCA